CTGGTTAAAAGGGGAACCGGCCACCCCAGCCTCTGGCAGTGTCTTGAAGGGGCTGCATATGATGGTGCATTATCTCTCTGTCACATTTAGACTCACCCAGAATCAATAACCAAACGTTTTTAAGTCCAGAGGTAAAGGAAATTTCCATGCATAAATAAATAGATGGTTAAAAGACAGGAACAAAACTTAGAAGCGAACAATCACTTCTAGCAATGGAAGATTACTATTGTATAACCACAGTAGCCAGTGGTGAGACTTCAGCTGTTCAGCAAGCCCAGTAACAAAGCAGGTGAACAGCTAGGTCACTGAGTTTTTTTGATAGTAGTAAGTTACTCAGGATAGAAAAGCCAAGAGTGTATTGCAGAACTGCAGAAGGACCTGAATGATAAGAAAATTAAATGATAAATGAAATCTGAAGTAGATGAAAGCTATGCACATGAGGAAAAGGAGTCCCACATACAGAACAAGGAGCTCTCAGCTAAACATCATCCATCATGATGTCCCTCAGGAGTCTGTACTGGGTCAAGTATTGTTGAACATCTTCCATGACATGTAAGTGCACCCTCAGCAAGTGTGCAGATGTGTGGTGTGGCTGACATGCTGGAGGGACAAGATGCCATCCAGAGGGGCATGGACAGGCTCAAGAAGTGGGCCCATGTTAAGCTCAGAACTTTCAACAAGGTCAAGTGCAAGATCCTGCATATGGGCTGGGGCAACCTCCAGTATCAATACAGCCTTGGGAATGAAGGGACTCAAGAGTAGCCCTGATGAGAAGGACTTGAGGGTACTAGTACTTGAAAACCTGGATGTGAGCCAGCAACGTGCACTTACAGCCCAGGCCAACCGCATCCCGGGCTGCATCAAAAGAAGCATGGCCAGCAGGTCAAGCGAGGTGATTCTGCCCCTCTGCTCTGCTCTTTCGAGATCCCACCTAGAGAATGGTGTCAAGCTCTGGAGTCCCCAGCACCAGAAAGACTTGGACCTGTTGGAGCAGGCTCAAAGGGGCACAGAAGTTATCAGATGGATGGAACATCTCTGCTAGGAGAAAAGCTGAAAGAGCTGGGGTTGTTCAGCCTGGAGGAGGCTCCAGGGAGATCTTGTGACCTTTCAGTACTTCAGGAAGGTTTATAAGAAAGATAAGCACAGCCTTTTTAATAGGACTTGCAGTGACAGAGGGGTGATAAATTTCAACTAAAAAAGGAGAGATTCAGACTAGATATAAGAAAGAAATTTATTACAGTGAGGGTGGTGAAACACTGAAACAGGTTGCTCAGAGGTGGAGATACCCTCTCCCCGGAAACATTCGAGGTCAGCAACCTGATCTAATTGACCTCCCTGGTCATTACAGTGGATTGGACTAGACTACCTTTAAAGGTCCCTTCCAACCCAAACTGTTAAAGGACAGGCAAAGTTCGAGTCGATACAGTTTAATGCAAATATCTCAATTCAATATTCACCAGTGGCTAAAAAAGCAAATCAGAAGTTAAGAAGTATTAAAAAGCTATAGAAAAGAAAACAGAGACCATGCTTATGCAAATACATGGACTTACAATACAACTAATTTTGTTATGCTGTTTAGTTTTTAAGAAAAAAGAAAAGATGTTTTAAAACAGAATCAGAGTTGGGAAAACCAAGAAGAATAACTACAGGTACAGAACAACTTATGTGTGAAGAAAAGTTGAGTAGGCTAGGAAAGTGATAGCCTGAGAAGAGATTGTGCTAAAGAGTGGTATAAAGAGACTGATCTCCCACTGTCTCTTCAAGCACAAAAGTTAAAACTTAGCAAGTGACTCGAACAGCAGCCAAGTTCAGAACAAAAAGGGGAGGTACTTCTTACTGCAGCAGACAAAGCATGTGAATGTAAACAGTATTAGAAGAGACTGAAGTACTTCGATGATTGCCCTATTAAGGATTACTAAATAGATGTACCACATCAAACTCTGAGCTGAAAGCCGATGAAGGCTGGGAGACTACTCAGGTAAATGTTATGCTTGTCCTGCTTTTATTCTTTACCATACATCAACAAATGCCCAGTGTTAGTGGCAGCAGAGTGGGTTAGAGGAACATTTGGTCTAATCCAGCATTGCCATTCTTAATTTCTTAGAGTAACAGACAAACAATGAGTATACATAATGCTAAGCAGGTCTAATATCCTGAAAGTAAATCTGTTCTTGAAATTGTAAAATCATATATTAACCTTTTGACAGCAAGTAGATCATGACTACTTTTACTTCTTCCCTTCATGCTCTGTTTAAAAAAAAAAAAGAAAATAAAAAGAAAAAACGTATTAGAAACGTCAGTGTTTGTGATAACAGATGGCTAAGAAGAACTATGGTAAGAAAAAGACAATTTGCTTCTTGCTAGCTTTCTCACCAGTAAGCAGAAACACTTTTAACCGCATAAGAAGAGAGAAGGTGTTCCAGAAAGAGGAGCATCAGACTGACTCTCACCATTCCTTGACACAAAATTCCCTAATCCTGTGATCTCTGCCTTCTATTATCTCCTGGGATACAAAAATTTTCTAAGATTCATAGCCCGTATATCATAATCAGAGACTTTCCTGATACAGAAGACACAAATTGACCTGCAACTTTTAAAAGACACCAATGGCCCTTATCTCTTGTTTAATCTCTTTTTGAAAGTATTTTTACTTCTCATTTTCACTATGTTCTGATATAAATGTTCGCAATTAAATTCCAGGATGGAAAAATACTTATTCTGTGTACATGTATTGGCTCCTTCATCTTTGTGTCACAACTTTCATACTGTAAGAAACACAGAATAACTGTTCTCATCTTTCCCTTCCTGTCTCCTTTTTTTTAATTTTAAAGTTACAATGATCCATATCCCCAGTTATCCTTCCTGCCCTTTGTTGTACAGTTTCAGGAACAAGAATTCGGTGATTCATAGCTGCAAAGGCAAAATAGAATAATTCCCTCACTCAAACAAGTGCAGCACAGGCTGAACAAGTCTGGACTAGAAAATTGTTCACAATGGGGAAGATGGACAAAAGACGTAGGGAGGCATTAAACTTCACTTGGTTAATATGACGTGACTAAGACAAGAATCCTGATTTTTACAGGAAAGCATGAAACCATTAAATAACAAATTATAATAATAATTTCATTCTGATATATCGTGTTTCCATTTACTCTTTAGATAATTTTAGCCTCAGCCTTGCTGCACTAAAAATTAACGGAAAATGTTCCCTTTTGCCAGATCTGTGAGAGGATTCCCCAGTTACTTGCAGACTTTCCTCTCAACTTCAACCCTTCTCCTTCTTACATTGAAAAAAGCAAGACTTCCTGGTTCTAGCAACCAAGAAAAAGTTTACAGAAGGATTCTGAATTTGTAGATATCATAGAATCCCATTATTAACTTTGACCTTGTATTTTTCATACCAAAAACAGAGAATGGAAGCTGCTGCTGAAGTTCATACACTCAGCTTAATCAAGATTAAGATAACGTAAAGATTTGTAGAGATACTGATCTAGACCTATTAGAAGCAAGTGATGAGTTTTGGAATAAAAAGGTTCATTCTGCTGTAAAGAATGAACAGGAATTCTTCATAAACAGCTTCGGTGGTTATTTGCCATAGCTACAGCTAGTTAAGAATTTAGTCAGGGCAAATATGAGAATTAGATTTTTAAGACTGAATTGAAGAGAGTATGACAAGACTGAACAGGGCTTGTCATGAAAGAAGTGTTCTACTTAGATCATTTAAAAATGAAAAACAAGCATTTGACATGAAAGACGAGAACATCAGATCCACAGAGTTAAATGCAATATTAAAAATTAAACATACATTAAGTGCAGAACTGCATATGTGCAGAAAAATATGAGAACTAAGGTAGGGAGGTATAGAGAGTCTGACTGGTAAGTTGAAATGGTAAAAATAAGTTACAATTACTGTTGTGATAAACCTCTTCTATCATCCTGACTGATACCATCACACTGTAATATTGCCCATTAGTATTAACTGTTTTCTTTTTCATTTTAACTAAATGAGGACCATTTTTTTCACTTATGTGTTACAGGACTCAGCACCATGTAGTCTGAACACTAATTGAAGCAGGTAGGCACCTGAACCACACAAATAAGTAAGAAAGCCTAGGGCTCTCTAGAAATTATTTGGTCAGCAGCAGAAATGAGAACAATGACTTGTTAAAGTAGTTTAATGAACCTCATTTAAGTGGCAAAGTCAGGTAAGAAAATGATAGATCAAAGACTGCGTATGCAACCCTAATTCTATGAATGTGGGCAATGCACAAAAGTGTTATATTTAATTACGATAATGCACTGTTTTCCCCCGCTACAATCCCACTTCATTTTGCAGACAGAATGGACAAATACAAAAAAAATGGAGAAAGAACTGGTAATGAACAAGTTGATCTATTTCAAACCTCAAATATTTTACCATCAAATCACACTCTTATAATTAAGGAGGTGAAGGGGAATAAAGTATGCATCACCTTTATGAATTTTAAACAGCAGACACAAATCTATACTATGAAGTATGAAACTTCGTGTTTACGGAAATGTAAAAATATCACACAGTAATTGAAGACACCTTCAAAGTTAGAAAAGTTCAAAACCTCTGATCTTCCAACATGTTAAAGTAGCAGAATCATAAACACTGAAGTAATTTCTAGTGTTGTTCAAAACTCAATCATAAGAACAAGATTATGAACTTTAAACTTTTTCACAAACATGGAAAAAAATTAATTTTAAGTTGAAAAGAAAACTGAGGATGATATGGTACAGTACCTGACTAACTCTATTGACTTCCTCCTCTTCTTCTTCAGCTTCTTCCCCAAAGGAAAGCAGGTTAAAATTTCTTATGAGAGAAAACATATTTTTTAATAAAACTTTAAACACTGTCTTAATATTTTATAAACTTTAAACATATTCCTTTCATATTGTACACTATTTCAAAAAGAAAGCTTTTGTCCCACTACTTGTACCCATTTCAAAAAACTACAATATGCTGTTTTGCAATAAACCACGAATGCTCCTTTCCTGAGACAAAACAATGAGGATAGCTAAGCATCACTTAGAAAATGGTAAGGTGGAATGTAAAGATTTCTGTGTTGACCTACTTGCAGAGTATTAAATGCCGGTAGTTTTTTTTGCAGTTTTTTCAAGTTTTTGTTTTCCAAAAGAACAACATTCAAGTACCACACACAAAATTTTCAAGATGGCTCATGCAAGGCATCAAATGCACACACATTCACATAATGCAATTAAAAGAAATAATGGACTTTAAGGATTTTTTTTTCAAAATTAATTGTTTACACTATGTTGGAACCACTCAGTTGCAACATGTTGTATTTCTGTCCAGCCGCCCTGACAGCATACACTCACTTCAGATTTCCTATTTTCACTGCATGTTTAGGACTACCAAATTCCATTCAGAGAAACTGAAATTTCCCATGTCAAAATGCCTGCCTTCCGCTAATTGCTTCACTGGGAGAGAAGTGGTAGCTATTAGTAAGGCCAAAACTCAAAACAACTGAGCTATCAGTTAGGTATTAGTGAATAGAAATTTCAGTTTCATCTCAGTCACAAAAGAATGACTGCACATCCTTGCACATGGGAAAAATTCAAGCTACCTTCTACATCTCTTTTGCAATAACCTGTCAGTATCTGTTAGGTACAGCTCAGCTGATGCACAGCAACCAGTTCAGTCAGTGCCATTAAATATGTATGATCTCAGAAACAGAGAGGTAGGCTATATTAAGAATAGATAACATTCCCCTCTGCATTTTGCTAAAGACTTCAAAAGCAGAAAATTAACAGCTGAAAATTAAAGGTGGAAGAAAATTAACCAGCACTTATGTTGTGTGTATTTACTTTGTGCCTTTTACTTTGGACTTTTTAGTTTCTTCTTCTGGTTTGTCCTTCTTCAGCTTTCTATTTGGTCTTGGAACAATGTCATCAAAAGGATTAAACAAAACCTGTTAAAAAAGGAACATGTTAGACACATCTGTAATAAGTATTTTTTTTGTAATTAGATTTCATATTTTAAAACACTATATAAAAAACATGTCAAGTTTTCATACTAGAACACAGTTTTCTGAACACTAGGAAGAAAAACATTTAAAATTTCAAACCCACACAGACTGACCTCAGTGCTTCTTATTTTGTGTGGACTGAGAGGTCTCTCTTCCTTGTCAACTTCTACTTCAGCCAGACGCAACATGTTATATATTGTATCCCCTGTAACCTGTCAAATTAATAAAGTTTTTTTAAAAGTCCCTCTATATTTTTTGTTAATTATTCAGCAAAATGCAAGGCAATTATTATGTAACAAGTTTTGAAAATAAAAATTATATAGGAAATGCTGTAAACATGCAAGACTTCTAAAAGACAGCGAGTAAAAAGCACAAAGATTTGGGCTTTAAAAATTTAACAGCAAAAGTTGAAGGTAACTAAACCTGCATTTTTGGGATTGTATGTAAGGGAAGAAGTAAAAATCTTAGCAAGCTGTCAAACAGGAAAATAAAAGACACTATGAAATAAAAAAAGTTGGCTTCTTTTCTTTCAAGTAAGTCATGAGAGCACTAAACTCATCTCATGTTTTTAATTTTCCTGTTTATTCTTGTGCAATTGAAATTTAGAAAAAGAATTTTCTAAGATATCACCAGTATTAGATGAACTGATTAATAAGACGGAATCGTAGTACTATTAGTAATATGATTCAAAGCAAAAGCAACACAAGAATGTAATAGAGGAGAATAACAGCAAAGTAAATAACTATGGGAAAAACCCATAGGAGCATTTCTACCAGTCATGGGAAACAAAGAGAACAGAGACAACTTAGAAAACAGCAAATCAAATGTCAAATGTACATAATGGCAAATAACACCACAATTGCCTTTGAATATAAAGAAACTTATAGCAGCTCCTGTCAAACTCAAAATGGAATTCTAGTTTGTGTTGCAGACCTTTCCAAAGATTGTGTGCTTATTATTAAGTTCATCTGCACGGCCCAATGTAAAGAAAAATTGACTCCCATTGTCATGGGGCCCAGCATTTGCCATAGCAACAAGTCCTCTTCGATTAAATCGCAGCCGTGAGTGGAACTCGTCCTGGCAAAGACCAAAGAGAAAATAACATGATTTAAATATGCAGCTATTTTTTCTACTTCCTTAGCTACCTCTTTTTTATATCAGTATGTATCCACAGAAAATATGCTATTAATTTTCTTTTAAATTGAAACAGTAATAAAATCCAAGTATTTTGAAACTTAGTGCCACAATTGTATTTTAAAGATTCAATTTTTCAGTAGCAAATATTTGTTTTAGTCAATTTTTTTTTCTTAGTGCCTATAATAAACCAAACAAGTGAACAATCTTCTTTCAAAAGAAACATAAACATGTAATCAAGAAACACCAAAATAAAAAAATTAGAAAGTAGTATATCAACAATAAAAAGACACAATTTAATAACAATTTTAAGTTCTGCCTTGTTATCTTTCTCTTTTTTCCAATCATTGCCCAATAATCAATTGTCAGTCATTATTTTTGTTGGAGTTTATTAGTGTCTCAGTATTAAAGAAATCCAAGTAAATTATAAACATAACTGCATTTCATAAATTTATTGTAATATTATCTTTCTTATCGACAACTATATTTAGAGGAAAAATCCTAATTAACATAAAATAACTGGAAGTTCAAAAACAGGTTGCAATAGTACAGTATTGCAAAAAATACGCAAGCAGAACATTTTCTGGACCACAAAAAGAGCTAACAGAACTACTTTCAAAGCAAAGTGAAAGCTATGAGTAATATATTAATACCATGGTTCTATCACAATTCTAAATACTGTAATATTGAGATACCACTAATTTTAAAGCACATAGATGCTACTACGATGTTCGTAATACTTGTTTTGTTGTCTGCTCAGGCACCAATCCCTTCCACAAACTTCATGTTTGTGCTGTATGTATGAGTCTACTCCAGCAGCATGGATGTGGAAGCCCCAGAGACAGACTATGCAGCTTCAGTCACAAGTTAAAGTTGTGTGCCCTCTCTGAAATAAAACAATCAGGCAGAACAAAACACAGCTGCTGTGCATGTGTGGCTTCACTCAGGGTCTGAGATTCCTGGTTAAGAGATGAGCCAGGATGGTGTCAGTAATACCAACGAACACACACAACATTCTAAGACCTTTGCTAAATAAGAAATGATATGCATAAGTAATGTACATTTCTACATGTGAGTTTGCCACATATCAATAACTACTATTCATTCTTCCCTATTTTTCTGTGTAGTGTTCATGCTAGTGAGGTTACACATGAACTCTCAATTCAAAAGGCATGTATAATGTGAAAGCCTGTTTTGAAAGCAATTACAGTACACATCCAACGTTGCATTTCTAATATAAGGTTAGTTCTCCCACACCCTAACTCAGTATGATGAACAACCAACAGAAAACAACCAAAATTAATGCATAAGATATACAGATACATACCTTGAAAGGTGCTCCATAGATCGACTCTCCACCTGTTCCAGTACCAGTGGGATCACCTCCCTGAACTATAAAGCCAGGCACTACTCTGTGAAATATTGTGTTATTGTAATACTCTAAAAAAAAAAGAAAGAGGATATTAAATACATGATCTCAAAAAAAAAATTTCATAGATATTACACTGACATGTCCAGAGACTGAAGCTTCAGATAGCAAGTACTGTAACTGGATTCTGCTACTGCCACTGGGTTTCCTCCTCTTCCACTATCTTGCTCAGTGTTGACTGTATCTCAGCTACAAGGTATTGTGGATAACACTTATGAAAAAAACAGACAAACGTGGTGTCATGTTTCTGTTGCAAAAATCACTGCACATCACCAAAAAGATGATATTGATGAATAACCTATTTACCAGCTTTTGCAATTGGAACGATACTACCAACACACACCAATTTAAAAGGAGAGCTAAAACTATGCTCTGTCTTAGCCAACACCTCACATACATCATTAGCCATATCCATACAACAAATGACTAGCATTTTCGCTCACCAGCATGGAACAAAGATGCCACTCTGTTCACTGCCTACACTGTACCCAAACTGATCACCTTCACAGAATGAAATACGCAGTGCATTTTGCTCCCCAGGTTATCTATCATATAAGGTTTATGAGATTATCAGAAAAAAAAAATAATTTGACATAAATTTCTGGTTGATTTTTTAATTAATAAAAATAAATCTGCTGCATGACAAAGTAGGATCTGCAAACACTGTAGTGTAGCTAGATATACTCATGCATGATTATATGCTAGGACACTCACAAAAGACATTTACTATACAAGGTACAGGATTCTCCATGGCAGTCAGGCAAAAACAGAAAAGAAAAAAAAGCCCAGCTCCTTCCACTGATGATAACTCATTTCTCAGGACTTACCAATGGCTAAGAGATTGATTTGCCATTGCAAAAAAGTCTCCTCAACTCCACATTACAAGCAAGAACAGAGGACAGGCTGCATTTGTGCTGGAGGCACAAATCTTACACTGCTATTTTTCCTTAACAGAGGAGGACTAAAAGAACACTCAAACACCCTATGAATGCATAAATAAGAACAACAGCTGCTAGAAAATATGTAACAGTACCAGATCCTTCACATATCCCTGTTACAGTTTTCCCAATAGGGAGCTTCTCATATTGGGACCCACTTCAGTGAAGAGTGTTACAAAGTTTCCACAAACAAAAAATTACAGCAAATTAAACAGAGGCATTAATGAAAGAAATGAACCGGTAGTAAAGATGGCCATACAGAAATGAGAATCTCAGGGGATGTCCAATATTACATCATTGCCTTTTCAAACATACATTGAAGAAGTAGCTATACTTTGTAGAGACTTGCTGAAAATAAGCCTTTCCAGGCCTCTGACATACAACTTTTCAGTAACAGTACATTAGATGCTGCATTTACTCTTTTTCCACTTGGTTCCTTAATAACATTGTCTAACACTCAGTGTTTTCCAAGATCTTCTACATACAAATAAATTAACTAACATATTAAACTTAAAACATAGTTATGGCCTCCATTTTACCAAAAAGGCACAAAGGTCGCATATGAAATACTTTCAACAATTCCTATCTCGTTCAATCATTACCTTCCATACAAAGCTGGATGAAATTCCGAGATGCTTTTGGTGCTTCTTTTGACCATAATTCTATATCTATATCTCCTGCTGTTGTTCTCAGCAAAACCTAGAAAAACATACAAAAATATACCACTTTTTTTTTTAAATTGTAACTCAGTCACTGATCAAAGACCATAATTGCTGAGTTAAAAAAAATAAATAAATTCTGAATTCATTATGTTAGGAACAGTAGCAGACATGCAAGTGTGGTAGATAGCTAGTGTTAGCTGTCGATAGCATTGTCCAGCCTTAAGATACAGTTCTGAGCCAATATGTATAATAAGGCCTCAAGGCCAATGACCTAGTACCTCACACAATATAAACTGAGATTTTATCACTTCCATCACAACATCGAAAAAAATTATGCTATAAATCTGCAAAGGCACATACCTTTCTGACAAACAATACTGCTAAATTCAGTAAGGGATTGCAATAAAATGGAGAACCAAAGACACAGTCAAGAATACAGGAAACTAAATGGGAAGCTTTAAGGACTGCTCTGCTGTGTATCCACACAGCACACGTCGTGCTTTGACTCAATTCATACCTTTATGGGGTTTTAGGCCGTCAAAAGTAACCAGATCAGCACACCGAGGGACCCGCCACACACACAACCACACACACCCACACACACACACACCCACCCACAACACACCAATACACCCACACACACACCAGTCCCACCCCTGCAACACGCAGTTTCCTCACAGCCCCGCTCAAAAGCAGGCGCGGAGCACAACACCCCCCTCCCCCCGCGCACCCCAGCAGCCCCGCCCGCTCTTGCACAGCCCCAGCACAGCCCCAGCCCCTCCTGCCGGCAAAAACCCCCAAACCCGGCGGTTCG